AATATATATGTAAGACTTTATTAGATAAATATTAATACGTCTCAATATTAAATTACATGTATAAATAATGCATAAGAAAATATAATTATTGACTTAAGTAAAATTCTTAATGATTAGTATTATTTTTAAAATGTCAATAGAAAGTTCTCACGAATACATATTATAATTTTCTTTTATATAAGATTCTCATAGTAATTAACTTATTTATTATATTTTGATTATAAACACTTAATACCCTAATTTCTAGTTAAATGGTTATTAAATATAATTAAATTTTTGTAGAATTAATAATAGATAAATAAAATTTATCAACTCAATAACGAGTTTAAATTCTATGATAAAATAAATATTTTAGTCAAGAAAATTTAATGAATGTAAAAATAAGTTTCTTAGATCTTTTACTATACATTACTTTATTTGAAATTTGACAATATTATCATACTTTAAAGTTAATTTAAAGTTATATAGACAGAGAAATAATATATTAATTTTCTAGTAAGTTTTGAAAGTAAAAGAAATTACTTCATGTTATTGACACGTTGATAATTAATTATTTGACATCTACTTTAATTAAAAAATTAATGTTAACACTAATTTATTATTGATTTAATATAGCTTATGAAGTCTAATCTTTACAAATAAATTTTTTTATTTAATAATTGAATTGAAAATTTAATTTTATCAAATAAATAATATTTTTTCAAATAAAATACTATTATATACTTTTTTTAATATAAGAATATAAATAACTAGTGAAATATTCTATTTAGAATAGATCAACGATAAAATTTATTTTAAATATTGAAACTGCATCGACGTTAATTAAACGATTACATTAGTTAACGACTTATTAATAAGAAGAAAAAAATAAACTTGTTAAATTATATATAGTATAAAATAAGTCAACACAAATTTTTTTTATCGTGTGCAGTAGCAGATCTTCACTAAATTTAGAAGGAGAACGACAAAGTATTAGATGAAATAATTTAATTAAAAATATTAATAGTCAAATAATTTTATCTAAATTTTAAATTAACATTTTTTTCATAGGCAAACATATATTATTAGAAAAAGTTTAAAGAGAACTCAAAATTCATATACACAGAAAAAAAATTATTACTTACTCAGGACAATAAAAAATAAAAACATAATTATACATAGATAAGACGGATGCAATTTCATGTGTTCAAATATCAATCAACTAATAAAATAGTTTGTCCCTTACTAATAAGTAATAGTCATTTCCAAGACTTCAGAGTAATAGAATCTAGGACTTTTCTCTCATTTAAAACATCATTGAAAAACACAATTCTATTTCTATATAACTACAAAGAACACATTGTATTTACCCAAACAATTAATAAACATATCCCTTCTTTTTTACTACAACCAGCATCAACCCAAGAAAGCAAGTGAGTTGATAAATTTGAAGGCAAAACCAGTGAGAATTCAAGCAAACGCGTAGTAAAGTACTTGAGATGAAACTGAGCATGTTAAAAACAAATGAGTTGGAAGTTCCTCTAAACCACAACAGAAGCAACAAGTTATATCATTAATTTGAACACTACGATCAATCAGCAAACCTTTACAAGGAAGCGCATTCAACAACAATTGCTAAAAAAATACCAGACACTTAAGAGGGACCTTCCCTCTCCATAGCCTTTACAAGGCATCCGCCGTACACTGGTCTACAATATTAGGACCACCAAAAAGTTTAAATACGTAGATTGCACTGAATAACAACCTGAATAATTTGTCCTCCATACCCATTTATCTTCTTGTAGTACCTTAATAGAAACTCTATCAACAAGCTCCAATATAAGATTAAAGCTTGAGATCTTATGTTGAAAGAGTCTTCTTTACCAACTAACATCCTAAACCTACCTAGTGCCATTATGAAAACCATTCTCCAATACACAAGATTCAACATTCCTCGCTACCGCAAAGAATCGCGGAAATGCCTCACAATCGCATCCCGCCTACCCACTTATCTCTCCAAAAAAGAGAGTGCAAACCTGCACTCACACTCCTATCCAACTTCTCATCCAGCCATGAATTCCCTTGATGAATAACCTTCAGCAAATCACGTCACTATAAAGAACATCTATTGTAGACTGATGGACATTAAATTGAAGAAGCTAATTTGCCATACTTAGCTTCCAACACCCGCACACACAATGAACTAGAATAATTAACACATCGTCACAACCATTTACCAAGAAGCGCTCAGTTAAACCACTGCGCATTCCTAACGTCCAAGCAACCATTCTTTTGTGGTCTACAAACTATTTCCCATTTCACCCAGAGGATTTTAGATTCATCCTTAACACCCTTGCATAAAAAATTATGTTAGATAATGACAATCTCCTTTATCACCGACTTTGGCGCCTTAAGAAAGGATAACGAATGCAATGACATAGAATTAAGAATGGCATTAATCAAAGTCACCTTGCCTCCAATCGATAAATACCTATGCTTCCATGATGCTAACCTCTTTTTAAGAGCCTCTAACACCCCTTTCCATGCACTAGGCTTCCCCGGGTTAATACCTAACTGTAACCCAAGATACTTTAATGTAAAAGTACCTATCTTACAATGTAGGAACTCCGCAGCCAAGTTTTCAAAGTTATCGCCAGTGTTAATCTCCAATACACAACTTTTATGAAAATTAATTTTCATACCTGACATTAACTCAAAGCTATGCAATACTGCTTTCAAAGTCCACAAGTTCTGAACCGAAGCCTCTCCTATAATCAATGTGTCATCCGCAAACTACAGCAAAGAAAGATTCGGTCCCTCTACCCCAATTTTCACACTAGAGAACAACCCACAAGCCACTGCCTTCCGCATAAGAACTTCTAACCCTTCCGTTGCCACAAGAAAATGAAAAGGGGGCAAGAAGATCCCCTGTTTTAGGCCCTGCCCAATATGTCTAATGTAAGACAACCATTAATCAAAGTTGACAGGATACCCACACACACAGAGGCTTCCATCCAACTGACCCATTTTTCTGAAAATCTAAAGTTACGTAACATAAACAAAAGATATCCCCACTCCACCAAATCATAAGCCTTCTCATAATCATATTTTAACACAAAACACCTCTTGTTATGCCTTCACACATAATCAACTGTCTCATTAGCCACAAGTACATTATCTAACATGTTCAAAATAACATCTTAATGTAAAATAATAATATAATATATTATTTTGTGTAATTATTTGATAAAATGAGTACCAACATTAATAAAAACATAAACCCTAAGACACTAAGCATAAATGAAAAGGAACTAAGGATCAACTAATCAAGTAGACAGAATAGAAGAAAGTAATTTCTCTCTTTCACTCATATATTTTGAAAATAATAGTTTGGATTGATGACAAAGATTAGTCAAACGTGGTGCTTTTATATTTTGAAAGAAGAAATTTAAATTTTTAAAGTTAGGCTTTTTTGCCACAATATGGTAAATTTAAAAATAAATTACCAAAATAGGATTTTTACAAAATATTTTTCTGATCTAGGGTAATTTTTGGCATGTCATATTGAGTGTCATCCCTTGTATGGTCGACACTTATTTTTTTAATAATACAATATTAAATATTAGTTATATAAAAGCCTACACTCATTTTTTAATAATAAAAAAAAATAAGTGTCATCCATGTATAGGCTAACACTTATTTTTTATTATTAAAAAAATAATATTATGAATCGAAACTCCCTTTACATAGCTCATTCCATTATCTAATTCTCTTATACTTCTTAAAAGTTTCGTTTCCATTCACTTTTATACACAACCTATATCTTTATTAAGAATTTTGTATCCTCAAGTAAAAGATCCAAAAAAAAATAAAAAATCACCACATCCCTTTATTCAAAGAAGCAAGAATTTAGAGAATTAATTAGAACTCAGATACAGTTGCAAAATCCTATTCACTTACTTTAACCCATTTTCAATGTCAATATAAAAGTGAAATATAATAGATTTTGAATAGTCTTTTCTTAGGCTGTTTAATATCTCAATAATTTTGCATATTATTCATTCATGGACAGGTTACACTTGCTTCTTCAATATTAACATCCTTATGAAACCTTTCCTTTTCTGTGCTTAATTAAAGAATAGAAATGAGTGCATTATTTTGTAGTCTAATTCATAACATTATTTTTTAATAATAAAAAATAAATATCGACCTATACACGAATGACACTTATTTTTTTTTATTATTAAAAAGTGAATGTTAGCTTTTATATAACCGATATTCAATATTTTATTATTAAAAGAATAAATGTCGACCATATAAGAGACGATACTCAACATGACGTAACAAAATTACTTTAAATCGAAAAAATATTTTATAAAAATTCTATTTTAATAATTTATTTTTAAATTTATCATATTTTGACAAAAAAAAGCCTCAAAGTTATCATTGGCTAATTTTTTTTACTTTTTTTGTTTTTACCATTTTTGTTGTGTTTAGCGTGTATAATTTAAACACAAATATATCAAAAAAAAATTTCCGCTATGTATGTTTGGAATACCATTTTTCATTCATTGATTTCTGCCACCTAGTGAGCGACTTTAAACACACGAGGTTGCTTGAAGCTGCTTCTATCCATTCATTCTCAACCCCTGTGGAAGCCATAGCAAATACCTTGTTACATGGCAACATTACGAGATATTTTTATTGGAATCAAACAAAAAAGCAAGGATTCAGGTATTTCCTAAGCACGTGGCATAAAATCGTGCAAAGGAATATTTTACTGACTATGACTCTGACCTTCAATTCCAATGGCTTTCAATTCATTGTGTCGTATTCATCCTTGTCTGTTGTTCTTTAACACACGATTGCACGTGTCAGAAAAAAGTGTGTACAATAAATACAGAAGTGGATAACATCTTGCAATGTCATTCCATTGCATTGTCTTGAAGAAATCCAACCACTACTTAGTGATGAGCCTCACTAATATTGATATTTTAACTTGGCTTTTGCTTTATGAAGTTGATAAGAATGTAGTGATTGTTAAAGGAGTTCACTAGGCTCAGTTCAGTAGCATGCACCAAATTCCCATTCAGAAACCAAACTGTTCTTGTGTGCAGGACTACATGGTAATCAGAGTGAGCTTCATGGTTGTAGCTTCGATTGCTGCACTCAAGATTTCGCAGACGAAAAACAGCTCTGCCACAAAGAGAAACGGTGCAATAAAATCTCCTGGTACAGCCATTTTTCCTCTTTTAATTGAACTGCCATTTCTCTAAAAAATAGTACTTTATGGAATGATAGTACAAAACAAAGTTTCAAATTTCAGTACCATACTACAAACTCTGTTCTATCATTCATCTTCTGTGTCTTCGTTATGTTGATTTATTTAAACTACACTTTTGGTGTGATGCTTTTGGCGAACTAAGGAAGGAATGGGTACTTGGAACAAGAGTTTGAAGAGAGGGAAAATAGCAATTCAGATGCTAATCATGTGACACAGGTACCCTTCATGTTTTTTGTCAAAGATTCAATCGAAAGGGTAAAAGAAACCTGCTATTGAATGTTTCTGCTGCAGAATGACGGAGAGAAGGAGATCAACATTGAAATGCCACAAAATATGCCAACACCAGATTTTAAGGACTTTGAGCTATTAATAGATGGTGAGAAAACGGATAATGTTACTGAAAAGGAGATATTGCAGAATTTAGTACAAAATTACAAGGAGAGAAAAGTGAACATTGAAAGGAAACTTCTTGAATTGAATGGTCTGAGGGAAGAGCAATCAGCTATTGCTCAAATGCAAAGGCAATTAGAGACAAAAACAGCAAAATTGGACTCTCTTAAAAAAACCATTGCTTCCTTGCAGTCCGAGAGTAAAATGATTAGAGAAAAAATAAGAGATAATGTCTTGTCTAAAAAGCAGCTTGATCTTGCAAAGAGAATGATAAATGAGATGCAAAGGAAGAACGGTGTCAATAGAATCCGTGTCAAGGAGAAGATATTGATGCTCCATCAGCAAGTAACTGATTTTCAGAAGTATAATAGCTCAGGTAGAATTGCTATGCCAAATACGAAACTTAAAGATGTTCAAGATATCGTGCTAGAGATTTTGGAGCTGAAGAGGAGGAACAAAGAGCTTGAATTGGAAAAAAGGGAAATGGGAATTAAGCTGGCTAATGCCCAAGCAAGAATCAAAACTGAGGTGAGGAACACTCAACCATATAAAAGAAATAGAGTGGATATTATTGTTTCATTATCCCTATAGACCCTAATCTAGGTCAATTTGTGCGTATTTATCGTTGATTTAATTTAAAGAACATTGTGATCTTAAACGACGCAAATTTAAAAGTGAATTCACTATTACTTGCTCCCTTCAAATGCAAACTCGATTTAAACTAGTTTTTTTTTTCCTTAAAAACAACCAGCAGTCATCATGCGTTGGGTTGTTAAATAAATCCTTAGCAACAGAGACATGAAGCAATCTACCAATTGTTTGTTCTCTTAGAATTTCAAAATTTGGTGTAACATCTACGGTGCGAATAACAAGATAGGAGTAGGCCTTTGATGCAATAATATACAACCACAAACTATGCTAGTTATTCATATAAAAACACCAAAGCTTTGGTCACTCTTCTCCACCTATAAATACTTATTGTCCCTTAAAAAATGATTAATTAAAAATAAATTTCCTTTGAAGAGTAATAGTAGTCAAGTTCTTTCCTGAGCAGGACTAATTTAGCACTCATCATTAGCTGTTGTTGTGCTGTAGATTCAGCTTGTGCAGGAGGAAAGAGAGGCTCGGATAAAAGAAGAAATAACTGGTTTGCGGCGACTGCATGAAGATCTTTCAGAGCAAGTTGAAAGGTTGCAGAGAAACAGATTTGACATGGTCCAAGAAGTTGTGTACCAACGGTGGGTTTACACTTTGTTGAAGTTTGAAGTCTATGATCATCAAAAGCAAAGAGGAAAGGCCTTAACATCAGATCCTGAGCTCGAAAGTGTCTCATCCAACGCCACATTGGATGAGAGTGACCAAGTTGAAACCACTACCTTTGAAAGCTCTTCCAGTAGTCAAAGTAGCACTGGCAGCAATTCTAGTATAGTTAGCAAAATAAAGAGATGGAGGAAAACCAAAGATTACCCAAACAAAATTTCCTCAAAGGGTACAAATATGAATAGTGGTATGAATAGTTCAACCAAACAATTAGAAATCCCAACAGTGCCAAAAGTGAAGAAAGTGTCTTTCAGTGACTCAGTTAAACTGACTAATTATCAAGATATGCCAGAGGGAGTTGAGAATGCAATGCATGAGAAATATGATGAACCGAGGAAGTCGAATGAATGTGCGGTAGGTGACACCATCAACGTTGATTCCATTCCGGAGAATGAGGGTGCCAAGATTAAAATTGGGCATTCAGATGAACTGTATTCGAGGAACGATCCCGTTTGTAGAAAGGATCAAAGGGTCAAAACCATACTGGTGCAGCTGCTAGCATTTTTATTCTTTTCACAAATACTGCTATCATTTTTCAGAATCAAATTACAACATCCTTGATTATATGAAAGTGCCGTGAATTTGTGGTAACACATTTTGCAATGTTGCATTACAGCACTTGACTCGTCTATTCAATGCTACTCTAGATTATTTGGAGACTTGACCCTCCAATACTTTATTAATTTTAAGCCCTATTCTTTTTTAAAAATTTAACTCTTTTAATTCCTCATAAAATAAAAAAATTAATACGTAGCACAAAAATTTATATGTGATAACTATTAAATTAAACTCATCGTTAATAGGAATAAAAAAATGTTGAATTTTAAAAATCAAAACCTAAAATAATAAAAAAAAATAGACTCGAAAATTAAAATCTCACAAAATTATAATGATAATAATAATTAAATTTAAATATATTATTTATCATATTTTTTCACTTTTTTGCCTCATATATGGAAAAATAGGGTATATGAATAATGATATTATTTTATCAGATCAAAACCATGTGAAGAGAAAGATTTTATTTTTTAAAAATACAAAATACAAAAAACAAAAAAGATAAATCTTTCTGTTTTGCTAGCACCGATTCCTTCTGTTTCACAGTCGACTTCAATGTCTGCTTAATTTAAAATAAAATAAAAATAATTTTAGATCATTAAATATTATTAATTTTAGACATGAAAGAAAACGAAAACATCGTTAACCTTCCACGTGTATTTGGAAATCATACGTGTCCCCTTATGACACATTCTTTATTTGCACTCATCTCCTCTCATGTAGTTAGTTCATTTCCTTTGTCTGTTTGGAGAGAAACTGAAAATTGAGCAACCATGAAGGACAATTACCGAACAGTTACCGAAACGCAAGTAAGCAGAAGAGCCACCACCACCACATCATCATCATTGCTTCAAAGGCTTCGAGAGCACGTCTCAAACTCAAGCCAGTTCTTCGGCGTCTTCACCCTTATCGTAACCAGCGCCATTTTGCTCTTCTTAACGGGCCTAACTGTCATAGGAGCCATAATGGGCTTGATCCTGTTTTCGCCACTCATCATCGTGACCAGCCCAATATGGGTCCCGTTTTTCACCCTTCTGTTCCTCGTAACAGTAACGTTCTTCTCCATGTGCGGGTTTGGGGTGGTTGTTGTGGCTGGCCTCACTTGGATGTACCGTTACTTCAGGGGACTTCATCCGCCCGGTTCGGAGCGTCTAGAGCACGCGCGGAACCGGATTTATGACTGTGGAGGGTATTTGCAGAAGAAGATGATGGATGCTGCGCCTGGAGCTTGAACATTGAAAGGATGGAGACGCTACCGAATGTTGAACCGCACGGTTCGCTTTTATGGATTGGATTAACCATTCACTCATGTATTGTTCGCCAATTTACCTGCTTTTCTAGTTCCATTTTCACACCATCAACGTATTGCTTTAGAGAAGGAAAAAAAAAAACTTAATAGTTGCAGTATGGATAGCAACTAATATCACTTGGCATGATATTAGTCTTTTAAATATTTTGTTACGGAATTAGTACTTCAAAAATATAATATATTGAACATGCAATGAACCTGAAGAGAATCGGTTCAACTCGGTCGAGTTTAAGGAAATTGGTAACTCTGGGCGAGTGCTGCTGCTTGTGTTCAGCAAGACACAGATATCGAGCGCGTTCTCGTTCGTCGTTAGATGGCAGACACCGGAGGTATAGTAACATACTTGAATTTGCCTTTTCTTGTGGACAATAGTAGAGGATAGTGCAGAAAAAAATGGCATATAAAAACAAGGATAAAAGACGGGCTTCCCTAAACTAAACTTTGCCGAGAGCATAGCCTTCTTAAAATAAAGAAATTACAAGTATATTTTTGGAAACAACTTTTCTAATCAATATTTTTATGATTTTTCATTTAATTTATTGATCAGTTACTCAATTGAAGAACTAAAAAATAATTTTTTAAATAAGAGGATTAAAAACCAAATATTGGGTTGAATTGTAAAGATGAAAAAAATGAGTGAAATAAAAAAACGAAAATAAATTTATGCAAGTTTCAAATTTAAAGCATATATAGGGCGCATTTCCACGAAGGTAAGAGAAGAAAATTACTTGAAAAAAATAAATAGCGAGATAATAATATTAAATTTTAATGTTTTTATCTAAGAGAATATATATATAAAAGAGAAAGATCTTTTTATATTAGTATAAATTTAAAAAATTTATTATAACTTATTAAATATAAATTAAATAAAAGATTTAGATCGAGTGTAAGAATTTTTAAAAGAACAAATTTTTTTATGTTTGGAATCTAACAATGCATGTTGCTTAAATTCATGAACTTACTTATCTTATTTATTTTTATTAATATTTTTAGAGTCTTATTAATCAAAGATCGTAAATGTTTTGGCTAAGAAATTAAAAATTATGTTAAAATAAATTAAAATATAAAAATAAATATATTTTTATTTATTTTAATTATTTTTTATTCTTTAATTAGTGTAAAAAGGATTACACATTTTTCAAAAGAAACAAATTAAAGTATTATACTTTTTTATAACAGCTTAAAAAAAGGTATTATACTTTTTCCATTTTTATGAAAAGTTAAGAAAACTGCTATTTTACAAACTTTGACACTTACGTAAACTTTATTATATATATATATATATATATATATATATATATATATATATATATATATAGTCACTAATTTGGTTGTTAATTTTTTTTATTTTTTTAATTATGATAATTATCATTATTAACTATTTTTTATTAAATTTAGTCGTTAATCAATTCTTTTCCTGTCGTGATTAAGGGTGGAATTTATATATTTTTTATAATTTTTAAGAAAATTTAATAAACATTAAAAGTGTGTTTTTAATATTTTTCATATGTATATTAATTAGATATTAAAATAAAGTTTTAGAAGATCTTCTAATTAGTTTTTTATTTTGTATAATTTTCTGTAAACTTAATCTATTTTAAATTTTTTTAATTTATCGATTAGATTAATAAATAATATTTATAAATAATTATTAGACAATCATCAAAAGTACTCTAAAATAACTTGATTTCTCCCTTCCCCGCGCAGATGGCAGATGCACAAATATATTCAACATATTAAATGAGAATATCTATTTTATATGATAATAAGAGAAATAATCCTTATCTATTAGATTTTATCATAAATAATTAAGATTAAAATATAAAAATTATATGAATTATTCAAAATAATCATACGACCTTTTTAAATAATTATGTGACTTTTCAAAATTTTTAATCTTGATCATCTAAATATAATTATATGATTTATATTTTTTTCTTATATATGTGTGTAAAATTGATCGTAGATATTTAATATTATATGCATTTTTATGAAATAAATACTTACTAAGATTTATAAAAAGTAATAGAAAAATAAATAATGAGTTAAAATTTTTTTGTGACTATTGGTATTTTTAAAAGACTTAAATATATTTTTTATTCTCACATTTTGGTAATTTTTTTAAGTCCCTTTAAACAAATTTTTTTTTGTTTTAGTCCTTATATATGGAGGAGAATAACATGTAATAATTTTTTCAATAATATGTTGCTGAAATGTAATAATACGTGACATATAATTAGAAATTAAAATTCAAAATGACATATGTAAGTTTCTGAATTGTAAAAATATTTTTACTTGAAAATATACTTGTAGAGGATAAAAATCTCACTAGTTTTACAAAATTTGGAATTGAAATGAATATGTTATGAATTTTTTAATATGTTGGGTACTAAGAAAGATGATTTGTGAATAATAGATAGAAACTAAATTTTGTTTAACTCTCTGGAAGTGTTTGAATTTCTTTTTATATTTTTATTAAAAAGTACACTCAAATAAACAAAAATCTAGTGATTTCATAATTTTTAGACTTTTAATGATTTAGTAATGAATTTTACAAGTTAGTACATAAAATTTGAAAAAATTTAAAAATAGCCATGTCCATGAAATTATTATTATTATTTTTATGTAGAGATGTGATAATATACCTAATAGACAAAATAATGGTTGTAATATTGTTTGTGTTTGTGTTTATGAATATGAGTTTAATTCACAAGGAAAATAGTTGAATATGCTATAATACAACAAGAGATAAATAGTGTTGGTGTGATTATAGGGGATAAGAGTGCCCAAGAACTACAGAGGACCAAGCATGACTAACTTGTGTCATAGGCAGTGAGAATTTGTTAACATATCCTGACAGATACTAGAGCATACCATGATTGGTTTGAGTGTGGGCTTCTAGTAGTGAGCATAAAATAAAAAATGTACACTTATGTTCTGTTAACGGTAAAGGAAGAAAATATACCTATAGCACTAATCAAACTGCAGACATAGAACTACCAATCTTAATAAAAAAAATTTGACAATGTTAGATAATTAATTAATTACTCTATGGAGAATTTATAAACAAAAGACATGGAAATAATTGATTGGTTTGTTGATTGATTGTTTGATTATTTGGATGAGTTTTTGTTCATTTAAGCATAAATATTACCTTGTGATATAGTTTATGAATGTTTGTACTTACCCCTTTTCTTTGTGATATGTTCACTAAATGTATATAGATGTAGAATGAGTGAAAATGCACTAAACACCCCTATGCAAACCTTGACATTTAGTATAAGATCGAGAGTGAGAATGGAGTTCTAGTGACTTCAATCAAACCATTATCTTTATGGGTTTCATTATATTGACTATATCTATTGTAAATAGTCCCTATTTTAATCCAATGATTATACAAGGTTAAGCTAGAGTTATATGGTGACTTTTCTTCTCAATTTCGTAGCAACATATTTGGGACTTGATGATGACTCTCCTCCTAATAGACTAGAGGATTGGGGAATGGATCAAGTAGAAAAGAGAAACTATATTTCTTACATGTATTATGTGTTTGAGGCTTTCCTAATTACTTTCTTTTTCTTATTATGTATAATATTTAAATAATTAAAAAAATTTGAAAAGCCTGTAATAATTATTATGTATTGTAGACATGACTATGTAAAGTCTTCTATATAGTATTTATGATGATGTGTTACATTAGATATTAAAATTATAATTTAATTTATTTTTAAACTTACCATGAAAATTTAGATGACAATAGAGAAAGAAATTGTGAAATAGAAATGTCTCTTTAGTGGCTATATAATAAAAATAAAATAAAAATTATTTGTTAGTGTAATTATTTATAACTAAATAATTATAAATTATTTTAAAATATTTTATTTTATATTTACTATATAAGCATAAAATTGTGTTGCTTTGAAGTGGTATAATATATTAGATTTTATTTTTATTTTATTTAATTATACTGAAATTATCATTAAGATTAATCCAACTTACAATAACATATTTAAATTATATCAAATCAAGTCATTGAATTGATATATGTTGATATTTTTATATTCATAAAATAAATATTAATAAATTTTTTAAAATAACATTTAAAAAATAATAAAATCTTTTGTCATAAATATAATTTAAATATTTTTAAAAATTTTAAATATATTAGTAAAAAATAACATATAAATAATAAAAAAATTAAGATTTCATTGTGTTGGATGCATTTAAGATCTTGTATTAATAATAGGTTTGATAATAATTATGATATAATTTTTTAATTATATTTAATTATAAAATATAAACTAATTTTTTTTTATCAAATCAATTTAAATATATTTATATATGAATTCAATGTATGTTTATTGCATATAAACTATTGATTAAATTTATTTATTTTTATATTTTTGTTACTTTTTAGAAAAAGAGATTTTTCAATAAAAATTAACAAACTTTTCCTAACAATCTTAATTCTACAAAAGATTATTAAGAATAAAAGTATAAATATTGTGATTGTATTATTACTAATATAGTATTAGTACCAATTAAAATATTTTACAATTATCATATTGACATTTTTATTAATTAAAATCTACAAAGTTAATACTAACAAATATATATATATATATATATATATATATATATAATTAGTACTAATATAGTATTAACTAATGAAAAAAAATCAATCATTGTATTTTTATTAATATATTTATTTTAAATTTTAAATATTTTTATATACTATTTCACTTTAGTCGATTTATTTTCTAGTTTTTGAGTTAATTAATTTTTTATTTTTTATAAAAAAATACGTACATACTTTTATAAGAAAGGATAACAATAAATGATTAATAAACAAAAAGTGTGGGAGTGACGTATGGAGAAACATAACACGTGAAGGAAACACTGTAGTGTAAATATATAGATTTT